AGTACCATATATACATACATATATCCTTGAGTATTCCCCAGAGAGAAATTCAATTGAATTTGTGTTTGTTTTTCGGTGAACGGTTCATTTCATTGAACAAACACGGATGCGCGCAACAACGGGGTCGGCGAACAGACGATAAGCTAGATGGCGAGTGGCGAAACGCTGAGAAATTACAATGAATTGTTATGAATTGTATGAGCAGCGCGGGACGCGAGCGGTCCGATTGACTGGTTGGGTAATTGAACGCATCGGGCAACAAGCGAAGCGACGTTGGCGGACTGTTGACGGTTGGGGAGCCGCACTAAAATACTGCAGAAGAGCGCGCGGGCGATTGGTTGAAAGAATAGTTAGTTCAAACTAAACAAACCGTTAGGAATTAGAAAGAGGTGAAGACAAATTGGAAGCGGTAAGCGGACACCATATGAACCGTGTAGTTCCAAAAAGTAAGAAACGAAAGTGAAGAGGCAGAAAACTGAAGAGAGAACAATGGTTAATACAGCATAATACAATTTGCGCTCATATTTGTACTAAGTAACTACAGCAGGTTCGCGTTACGTAAAAATATATATACAGGGTGTTCTTTATAGCATATAATCAGGCGGATTTATCAAATATTCCATGTCACGCGAATATTTGCACTTCATTGAGCTCCAAGCTTCATTCTAATCGATATTGTCCATCATCTCAGCTGTTTAACAATCTTTTGTGTTCCATGTTGGAACACAACCATTCTTCTGAAGTCCTCGGATATTTAATAAGACGCTGGCGCAAGAAAGTGAGGTTTGTTGTATTGTTGCACAGAACTTTTGGTCTCTCGACTAGCAGGAGCAGAGTGGTTTTACAGAAGTTCATCAATCAGTACGCAGCTTGAGATCTTATTTGGCCTCTCCGTGAGTCGGAACCTTAAAATTGTCAGCAACTTTCTCCATACAATCAACCAATCTGCCAAGCACCCTGTATTAATTCCGTTGCATGAACGTGCACTCTAATAAATACGACGGAATGCTGATAGCAGCATGCACCATATTATTTACACAAACTTTCGTTTGTATATGTGGGTGTGCGGATATAATTTCAACTTCCGGTCAAATTTGCCAATCGACGAAACCAATGAACATTGAAAAACATTGCCAAACAAAGCGTCGATGAGGTGAGTTTATGAAGAGAGCACGTGATGCCATGGCAAGGGTGGCAAGAGTGATATGCTTTAAGAGGGCAGTTGGGCGGATCAATGAGATAACGGTGATTTAGTATTTTTAAGACCAATTTATTTGAGTTAATTCTTGTTTAATGTAAAATGAGAGTTCAATATGTATGTAAAACCGATCAAAGTTCTGGTCTGATTTTCGATTCGACTTTATTCACAATTAAACCTTTGGTTCATCCACAAGGTCATAGTTGAGTATACGGATCCATACACTGTCCCTAGCATTTTGTTCGCCATATAGTTTTGGCAGACCCAGTACATTTAAATTACTTAGATGGTCCGCTCTTTGACTAGATATATTTTACATCCGTGTAAATATCAGTTAGATTAATCTTATATTCTGCGGACCCGGCTTTACTGGCAATAAATACGGTAAAGTGTCTTCGGATCGATTTTTCGATCTCTCTATTTATGTTTGGATCATTGCTTCTTTTATAGTTATAAAACGACTCAAGAACACATCCGGATTACAGTTCAGCATTGCGAAGTCCTCTTTTATAATGGATTTCTGTCGGCTCTTCCACTATTTTCATTCACTGATTTCACACACAACCCTCGTGGTATTACAAAAAGTCCATTGTTTGTTATGAGGAAAGAAGAAGAGGTGCAGGAAAACTAGGCTGCGCATTGTCGACTGCTGAGTCTCTAGCATTCATCGGGGAGTTCAATGTGAAAACGCTTACCAGTTCACGCGAATGTGTGTAATTCTGTGGCAATACACATATGAAAATCAAGGTGTGTTTGTTTCGTTCAGTTCAATCGACGTTGGCAACTTTATAACTTTAACGCTGTATCGGCAAATTGCACACCCTAGATAAGCAATATTCGTAAATGCAAAAAGGATGAGAACAAGAGTTACGACTTTTATATGTAATATTTTTTCAAATTCGTCCCACTCCCACCTACCGGAAGGAGCGCCGCATTCAGGTAAATACTGACAGTGCAACAACTTACTTCAAAACTAAGCAGAGGGGTGCTAAGAGCGAAAATTAGTGAGAGTTGGCGTCCTTCTCGTACGCCTGACTCTATGTAAGTTGTACGTTTTCAAGCTACGTTTTGTGGGTTTACCACTGTTTATACGCACCACCCAAGTTTAGTTGGTATGTATGCTGCTCTAACTGCGGCGGCTGCAAGTGATGTGGCACTTTACCTTGAATTATGTGCCCCAGGGAGCGCTTAAGATTTCATTGTGCAAAATTTAGCAGTTAGAAATGCGTTGCATAAAACTTTTTTCAGATTCAGGTTTCTCTGTGTTTGTTTTGTTATTTTTGTTTGCGCCGAAAAAAGAGGATATCTATTTTACTACTACAGAAACACATCGCACTCAGTAAAACTCTGAAATGTGCCCCTTCCTAGTCTTTCTTCTGACTTCTGCCAGTCTTAATTAACATTTATATTTGGCGTCGTCCATTTATACTTCAGCGAACGTGTTGTGAAATCAACAACTTAGTTAACATGAACCAAACCATATCTTAGTCCATTTACTTGGATAAGTTTCAGTGGAAGAGCTCCAGCCTGTAATCCAACTAAGTGTATTTATTATAAAACTGAAAGTTGCAGAAGTTTCTGAGCTTTCGACATCCCTTTCTTTTCATTTCACCCTTTCAAGGCGTAATAATTTTCCTCGTACTGACATAAGAAAGAAAATCATCAATATTGGATCTCTAATTGATATAATTACATCAGCGAATAACTAGATCCAATACTGCTTCAACGGGATAGTAGGAGAACTCATCTTTTATTAAGATTTTAAATATTTCCATCAGTAGCTCAAAGATTTTTATTTGCCTGACCACTCGCATTCATCTTGATAGGTTGTTATTCTGCGAAAGGGCTTCCATTACGTGTAAAAATTAGAGAATGTGTTTGAGATAACTCAGATGGTCTTCAATAGCTTTAAAAATTGTTCACGAAATTGGCTGTAAGAGGTTCTTTCGAACAACAAAGCTAAGATTTAATATTATTCGTTAAAGTATTCAAACTTTATTTTTATTTCAAGTGAATAGAATTCAAGATTTTTCAGAATATTGCATAATTAAATAGAATTCACGGGAATCTCTAAAACTGAAAAAAATAATCTATCGATAATCTTAGCTGCAAGTAGTGGTAACTAGTTCACTTGAACCCACCATGTGCTTTTTTGTTTAACTAATATGTTTAATTTGCTTACTTCAAAATCTATCCGCGAAGATGTATCATTAAAAAGGTTTTTCATTCGCACCTGAAGTTCTGATGAGTTACAAAATCTGTGTGCTCAGCTTTCTCACTATTGTAATTTTCATTCTGAAAATAAAACTCTGCATAAGAAAAACCAACTCTTCTCTATAGTCTTCAACAAGTATAGTCGCACCAGTGTTTAATAATGATTTCGAGTCTCTTTGTTTAATAATTCTGTAAAAAGTTCGATAAAAGGAAATGAGAGTTGAGCTTTATCAGTCTAAAATTGAAAACTACCAGTAGACCTGCGCTCATAAGATAGCTTGGAACCCAACTAGATTTTCATGCAAAAATATTTGTGTTGTGGTCTGGAATCAATTAAATTTCTTCCATAATGATCTGTCTGTCTCAAGAGTTACGCACACCATTTTCTATTGGTTTTCCCCAGTATTTAATACAATATCAAAAATAGCAAAATACTTGTATGAATATATGTACAACATGTTCTGTAGCTTACTAAATTGATATCTAGAACAGGAAATATTTGCAACTCAATCTTTTCAATCCGCAACCTTACAAAATTTCTGCTTCTCATAGCTCATCTTAACCGGAAAAAAATTTCGTGTTCAACTTTTTCATACTCAGTCAAACCGACAGCCCTATTGGCGCCACATATTGCTGCTATTCTCCCAATCTACCGGCAAGGCAGAACACGGACTCGTTTAACTCATATGCTCTGTCGGCGGCTGTGACGCCAAGCATGTCCTGTTTCGACACACACGCACGTATTACTTGTACAAGTCTTTCTAATAAGAAAATATGCTTACAAGCAAATGAGAGTGTGTCTTTCTAAGTACAAGCACATGCACACATACATATATTTATAATAATACAATACATGTACATATATCTTATACATGCGTGTACGTCTTCTGTATAAAATATCAAAGATTGTGTGATGTCGTAAAGTTTCGAGACGCCAACATGTCAATCCATTCCTCTTACACAGCACTGTCAATTTTACTTTCTGGATCTCACACTGTCGCGGTACTATTTTGATGGATTTGACAGCGATACACGTTTTGATATAAAAGCAAAACACAAAAAAAAACACATATGTTTAATAAACCTCCTAAAAGTGGTTGTGGGAGTAAAGTCAGGGGTAAAAATTATTCTTAAAAGCATTTTTTCAAATAACTCACTAACAATTATAGATGCAAAGTTAGTAAAGAATTCGACAAACGTTCAAATTCACTAAGGTATACACGACATAAAGGAAGACTGCCCCTTTAACCCTTAATATATACGCTGAGCTATAATGTTGATCTTTAAATTAGCAGACTTAAGGCTAAACTCATTCAGTAAAATATAGTTCGTAATATTTTGCAAATGCTCGTCGATGAAAAGTTTTCGCTAGACATTTAATTTACTAAAGATAGTTCGAAATTGTTAAGGGCAGCACTTTTAACCCTTTAATACGCATCAACATAAAAGTTGGCGCACCCTGTGTTTAAGGCAATTAAAAACACTAAGCAAGACGTACATTTTAAGATCAAAAATTATATAAAAAATTGTAGTACATTTAATCCGATAATATTATATATATATATCTGAGTAGCGATCAAGTGCTTACCTTCTTCGAAGTTACAGTCGTCGCGGTTCTGAAATTAAACAAAATAGGTGGACAAATTAGATTTCTGAGCATCCTTTTATTTACACGATTTCTAATACAATTTTGCTAATTTGAGTTGACCATGGAGTCAATATCTAATAGATAGGTGATAACATTATCAAAGACTTTCAAAAAGTATGATTTGGGCCCCTAAGAAAGGACTCGAGAACGGAGTTAGGCTTTTAGGTCCTGAATTAATAAAACATATTTCTAATATTTCGTTAGACCCAAGGAAGTACGTACAACAACTAAATGCTTGCGTCAGCTGCAGGTATGACAAAATCGATGTAAATGAGGACTGGTTAAACCTTTTACTGAAACTACATCCATAACTACTATATGCATGTCTGATGATAATTGCTTTCCTTAAAGTCCCCGCATCTATTGTTTCGCTTTAATTCGCTCACATAAACCTTGAACTAGTTTCCTAATCAAAGTGCTTGGCAGTCAGCGCCACTACTTGGCTACCAAAGCGCTGTTTTGTGAAAACAACATTATTTTCGGTCACAAAACTTATCGGTTTGTCTCGGTGACCCAATTTCACATATTTAAATAATTTTTATAGCATACTTTTGTGCTGATTAGTAAACTGATTATAATCAAACGTAACGGTGAGTTTGAAGCATTTCACGAATTTGGCATACTTGACCATGTCAGATATCTTTTTTGGAGCTGCTATTTGTTTTTGGCACACAAGGACGTTTAACAGAATTGGGGCAATGGCAGGCAAAAGCGTTTAATAGGCGCTAAAGCAGTAGTGATAAGTAAAAATTATTTCGTTTTAATTTTTGCAGTCGAAATCCATTAAAAAATGGGGTTAGGAGATACATTATTTATAGCGTTAAATAGGCTAGTTTTCTGCAAATTTATAAAGCATATGCAAAGGCGCGAAATTGTTTATATTATAAATTCGCTGTGATCTCAATAAGTAATGCATAAGTTGTCAATTTTTGTGCTTATCGTTTTGATAGCAAATAAATTAAAATAAAAAACCGTTTTTATATTAGTATATACAATATAAAAAACAGTTAAAATGATAAAAATTTCAGAAAAATTTTAAATTATTTTTTTTTATAATTTGAATTTAAAAAAATTTTATTTAAAATTAAAAATTATATTTTCAATTAAAAAAATTAAATTTAAAATTTATTTTGCGACGTTATTGAGTTTTTTAATTCCTTTTAAAAATGTATTTTTTTTGTTTGGAAAATTAAGAAATTTAGTTTCTATTAGAAAATCTATGTTTAAATATAATTAATAAATTAATATTAATACTGTGATAGTTTTAGTAATTTAATTTTTATTAGGTTAAACAATTAAATTTTCTGAGTAAGCCGTTTATTTCCTTCTGCTCTATTAAAGAAATATAAATACAAAGATAAATATAAAGATAAATATAAAGATATATATAAAGATAAATATAGATAAATGCAAAAATAAAGATTTTTCGATTTTTTTTTGTTCATATTCAGTTCAATTATTCAAGAATATGTCTACAAAAGAATATTTCAAAATTAAAATTTTTTTCGGTGATAAATGTGTATGGAGATATAGGTGTACACAAAACTTTTAAACGCGTTTTTCTCAAAACTATCTTTTTTCAAAATGATGACCCCGTTTCTTAGGTTCTACCGGACCGATTTACCTGACATTTTTAAAAAGTTTTCTTTGACTTGTCTGTGTCTGGAGCTAACCATATCCCATGGTTTTGGGAAATAAATTTCATATAAATACTTTGGTTTTTGTGTCTGAACAGGGTATATTAAGTTTGCCAACAAGTTGGTAACACTTAGAAGGAAACGTCGCCAATAGGGATGACGTGATGTTTTTTTTACGGATTTGTGTCAAATTTTGTCAGTGTGCTCAGTAAGTTTTGCCATTTTATCATGTCACGTTTCACTTTGGTACAAGGCTTGGAAGTTGTCCAAAATTATTACGCAAATTCACGTTCTCCGAAAAATTCAAAAACCCACGCTCATCGAAAAATCAAGCTTTCAGATATGGCAGATAAGCCTCAGATATCTGGCTTAATGGTTTCGTCAACTAACAAAATCGTTGTCCTTGAAATGAGTCAGATCCTCGAAACGCAATTGCATCTTTAAAAATTTGCCGTTTGGTGCGGGTTGTTGTATGGAGGCATCATCGACATTGCGTATAAAGTTTGAGGACTTGTTAATTTCGAGAGATGGTCCAATCAAATAATGCAATTTAACGCCCTTAGATTATTTTCTTTGTGGGTATATTAGATCAAGATTTATTTACGCCAATCAATCAGTAACGCTCGAAGATCTTGAAGACAGCATTCAGCGTATTATAGCCGAAATTCCAGCCGAAATGTTGCACAGGGTCAGCCTAAATTGGCTTTAACGAGTGGAGATATGCAAACGGAGCGTTGTTGGTTTTTTTTCAAATCATAAATGGCATAAAATTATCCACAAAAAAATAAAAGAAATAAAAAAAAAAACACATTTCGACCTAATTTGAGTTTTTTTATCTAATTTTAACATCACATTGTTCTTGTTGGTAGGAACTATACTAAAACAGATTATTCAGTCTGATAATAACAAAAATATAGAAAACCGTTGGGCGGAAGACAATTAAGGGCTCATACTAGGAGAGCCTTTCTTAGAGGTGTCTATCAAGCAATTTTTTAGAGTAAAAAGCAAAAAAAGAAAAACATTTGTTGTTTTTTTTTGACCCACCCTAATATATATATTATCAATTTTTATCAATTCTCTTCGATTAAAATTTTCATTTGTTATAAAATTTTATAATTAAAGTGTGAAATATACAAGTTTTTTATTATTTAATGCATAAATTATATATGTTATGTATATATGTATTTGACTTAAGTAATTTTTAATTATTTAATTAATTTAATAAAATTTATGTTACTTTTAATTAGACACATAACTTTAAAATTCTTCGCCTTCTAGCCATCTACTTTCACTTGCTCACCTTTCTTTGCTTCTATAAGTGTAGTAAGTACGTATGTGCGTACATATGTTTATGTGTGTGTTCGTGCACTCGCTTCCCGACTGCTTTAATTGATATTAACGGCAAGTAAGATTGCATTAGCGTTTGTGGCGCCCGAAAGCGTTGCGCGCAATTATATTTAAAACGCGCACACACACAACTATACAAAGCAAACACTTGCGCACACACACACATACAAAGTAAGTAAGGGAGAGCAAACATTTTTACCTTTGTGCTCGACTATTTCCGCTTTTACTTTATTTGACTTTACTTTGCTTGATTGGAATTTATGTGCTCAGCGGCAACAACAAACGAAAGAAGAATTCTATGCGTGTTTCTGTGTGTGTGTGTGTGAATCTTTTATGCAGCGAAAATTCGTGAAAAAAATTTGGAGAAGGGCGAGTGGCGTCACGTGCTGCCCAGCGGCGCTAATGCGTGGCAAATAAACACAGATTTGATTATAATCACGCAACCTTTTGCTGTTGTTGTTGTTTTTTATGCTTAAACCCCTTTCAGCTCAGATATGCTTTCTACATTTTTCTGAATATCTTCTCGTTTCTATATATTTTGGCATTTTTATTTAGGTTTTTTAACACTGTTTGCTATTTGCTATAAATTAATTTGTTTATGTGGCAGCTTAGCGGCTACATTGCATGCAGAATACTAAGAAATTAGCAAACAAATTTATGTGTTGCAGGTTGCTTTATGCTTCTTAAAAGTAATTTGCGACGCATAAGCCATATTATATCGGTCTCTTTCTATCAATCCTAGTAATGGTTCTAGATAAGGATAAAGGATAAAGGTTAATTTCTGTAAATAAAACTTCACCTTTTTGTGCTAAGAATATAAGCACTTAGGCAACACCTGTTACCTTCAACAGTTGTCTTCAAAGCTTGACTTTGCTGTTTGATGGCTGGACTACTACGCCTAGCCTATGCTGGCCATTGTCATACAATAATAGGTAGTAATACAGCATAAATCGTAATTAATATGAATTCTTTACATAGGACTAGGTCATACTAGGTTAGTCTAGTAGGCTCGTGGGCATAGACCAGTCTTGGTTCTTAGCGATGCTAGAAGGAGTGTCGTTACGTAGTTCATTAGAAGTAGTTATCCTCCAAGATATTAGCGCTTGACGTGAATTTGAATAGGTCTCGCGGCCACTCTATCGACTCCTTTTCCAGTGTTGAATACCGCGGGGTCCCCAATTGTTTGAAGCCTTGGCTTGCGGGCGCAGGATGTATTATTTCATTTGTGCCTTGCTCTTGAAATTTTCCAACAGTCATCTCGATTTGTCAACTCCAGGCGTGTGCCGTCAGCAGACTGTGATCTTTAAGTATTGCAATCATGTTCCTACAGTCTCTTCTATCAAAAGTGAACAGGAACGTTGTGTATTCTTGATCTACATCTTTGCAAATGACCTATGTAGTTTTGCATCCTGATAGCTAATTCCATCGAACTTTAACCTTTCCTGTCGGTCACGTTATCGGGTGACAAACATACACCTCTCTTGGCAATCTCGTCCACTATTTTTCCCTCAATGGCTTTGTAACTTGGCACACAGCAGAAGTGAAATCGCTTGTTCCTAGCGACACTCTCCACTGTTTGCCGGTTTTCCAAGACACTTTTGGTCGATATGCGATACGCGCTTACTGCCTTGATTGCAGCTTGGCTCGCTACGTAGATGTTGACTCAACAATTGTTTTCAGAATTTTATCGATGGAAATAGGCTCTGGCCTTGCTCTTGCTACCATGAAGTACTTAATGCTAGCTCTAAAAGAAAACTCATTGTATTTTGTAGGAATAGAATGGACGAAGAAGGCCTTATAGCTTTCTTTGAATCCACAACTGAAACAAAGCCAGAAATCAACTGATAGTGGAAACTGATTTTACTGAAAATGAGAAAGGCTCAAGAGCAGCAAGAGAAAATCAAAATCCGTAGCTAAGTTAGTGTATCGAGTTTAAAACCAGAAGTTAATTATAGCTGTTTGGCGTTTCTCTGAAATGAATGCA